CAGCGGGGAAGGGGCTGTCTATGAGGGGATTTCAGATTCAGGCCCCTCCCGGGCCCTACCCCATCCCCGCACCAACCCCGGCTTCAGAGCATCCCTGAGGCACCCCTGCCTTCAGGCCCTGGTGCTCCCCATCTCCCTCCTCCTGGTTTTGGAGGATCCTCTGCATCTTCAGGGGTGGTGTTGGGGAAGCCCCGGTGGAGCCAGACTCTTGGGGTGCATCGTGGTGGTGGGGGACCCACGCTGAGGTGGATGGGGAAGGTGGGAGGTGAAGTCCAAGCGCTTTTCTTGGGGGGCTTGGCTGCCTTGGGATGTAGGAGGCACTTTTTACAGCATCCTGGGGCACACGTGAGGCTGGGATGGGTGCATGGGCAAGGCCTGCTCCTGGCTTTGCTGGGCTGGGTGGTGGAGCCGGCTTGTGGCCTTGGACTGCGGATGTGCTGAGCTGCAGCAGGACTTTGGGATGCTCTGGCAGATGGCCGGGGTGTTGGGGGCTCCCACTGGTCTGTAGCATCCCGGCATCTCTTCCAGCAGTTAGGGACAGCTGATCTCAGCCTTTGCTGAGGAGGGTGAACCAGACAGTGAGCCTGTGCCCCACCATTGCATGCTACTCCCCCGGCACGACCAGCAGTATGAGAGCAAAGAGCTCTTCTAGCCCTAGGCTCTGTGTGCCCCTTACCCCGTCCCTGTGTGTGGGGAGATCTTGCAGGTCTGCTCAGGAGACCTGTGTGCGCTTGGTGCTTGGGGACAGGCGTGCTTGCCCGGGCGGTGTAGCGTGCTTCAAGGGAGTGTTCCCACAGCTCCTTCTTGCGGGAGGGTCCAGCCCTGCCACGGGGCGATGGCAGGTGGCTCGAGCATCTGCTGAACAGACTGTGGGCTGGCTCCCGCGCCTGTTGTTGCCTGACAAAAAACGTCCCCTCGATGGGCTTGCCTGCCGCTGCCCACACTGGGTCGTGGGCAGGGAGCCTGAGGGTGGGCCCCGGGTTTGGATGCCCTGAGTGTGTTGGGGAAAGCTGTTCTTTTGCCCACTGTGCGTGGTGGTGGCCGTGTCTGCCCTTGCTGAGACACGGGGTGGCCTGGGAGCCACCTCCTCCCTGTGGCTGGCCAGGCGGGTGGGCAAGGGAGCTCTGCCCCCGCTCTGCTCTCCTTGGCCTCTGACCTTTGCTTCACCTTGAGCCTGGGAGACGCCATCTGTTTCACAGCAGCAGTTCAATGTGTGGCTCATTGTCGCGGGGCCCCGCCGTGGTGGCAGACAATGGGGGCCCCCTTGCCTGCGCCACGCTGGGCTCGTCACGGCTGTCAGGCCTCTGGTGAGCCCGTGGGCTGTGGCCCGGCTCCTGCCGCAGTGCCAGGCAGG